CCAAAGTCTGATGGCTGGAAAGCACGCAGTTCCTGTCCAATAGAGGGCCAGACATTCCCATCCTTGCCTGTTGCTTTTTGTTAGGCGTTATATTTGAAAGTAATTGAGGATTTTATACATGTTTCCAGTGAATTTGAAAAATTTCTACAGTTTAAGATTTAATTTGCAGCAGCTGCTATTTCTAGCCTTTTACCTCATTAACACCAGTTGACCATTTTTATCCCATCATCCATGTTGCAGCTAAGATACACCATCTGTTAGAGGTCAGCAGAGACTCTATGTTCTGGCTCCAGAGACCATAATGTGCCACAAGAGACTAAAACTATTCCCAGTGGAGACAGTGGACCGCTGGCGGGGGTGGAGCAGGACAGATGAACCCTTCTACCGCTGAGTGTGAGACGCTGAAGGACACACGGCTGAGTTTCTACATTTTTCAATGTTTTGTGTGTTTTGTGCATTTTTAGCTCATATAATTAAGATGTTTGAAAAGCTCTGAAAAGCCTCTTTAAAAGAAAAACAGAGGATTTATTAATGCATAATATTTTATACAAGGACGGATACAAGTGTTTCACCTGAGAGCACAAATTGGGACTGTCATGTTGATGTATGCTGCTTGTATTAACTGGATTGTTTCAGGTTTATAGGTTGTACATGATTGTGTCCCTGCTCCGACTGAGGCTGGTGTTAGCCCGAAGGGCAAAATGACACACTGCTGAATGTCATTTTTCACATCCTCGGATGAAAAATGCACAAACAAACATAACATAAAACATATTAATATGACGCTCTTGAATGTCATTGTTGATGTGTGGCACTGTTTGGAGGGCAACTGTATCATCAGAAGGCAAATGTCACTACAATTAAAGCTTTTAGAGGGGGAATGGAAAAGGTCAACAGGGCCTGCATTTACACTGGCTCCTCTGGAGGGAAAAAGGTAAAAAACAACAACCTTTAACTTTTGTTCTGAAATGTGTTCTCTGGGGAAAACACTCTCCGTTACACATCTTAAAGTATCTTTTATTCCATTAGCAGTTTAGAAGGATTTCAATGGCCAATTTGTTCATGCGTTATTGATAAAGTGCTTGCATCACGTGTGGGGTCAGTCCATCACTTTGCTATTTTTGACTACATGCCAGAAGCATCTCCAAGAGGTCCTCTTTACTTATCTCTGCCCTGTCTGTGTGTGTGTGTTTGTGTGTGTGTGTGTGCGTTTGTGAGTGTGTGAATAAGAAAGGGTCTCCACTCCTTATCAGTTTGTCCGTTACATTCTTGGCCCCAGTGGTCAAACAAAATGCCATTTATGGCCACAGGGGAGATACAGTACAGTAAAGTCCACAGTGTGCTCCACTGACCCATAATGCACCAGTGCTTTATAAAAGCCCACAGCAAGGACCTCTGGCTGGAGAGTAGCTTTGGGTTGCCCACTGCTTCTGCTGTATTTTGTCAGTAGAGCCTTGTATTTGAAACAAAATCTTGTTTTCTGAAGCCTGGTTGCTCGAAGAGTCAGACTGTGCTTTGGCACTGTGCGTGTCCCTCACTATGGCATCGCTGACATCTTCAAGCCGCAGAGCTTCCTCATCGTACCGCTCGTCAGCACGCTACAGCACTTCTAGCTCTTACTGCACAGAGGGGTCTCTGGGTGGATCATCTGATTCACTGGATACAATTCTTGAGCCTTTTCTCGACTACGCCGATCATTCCAGTCTGTTTGGAGAGGAAGGCCCTGGAGGACCAAACTGTGTGGCCCCATTCAGAAGGCACAGCAGACCCTTCTATGGGCATGATGGTAAGGAACTCTTGTGTCAGTACAGGTTAATATATGCTACACCTGCATTTTTGTGGGTTTCTTCACACAGGGCTTTTCTTTACTAAATTTTAAATGAAAACACTTTTTTCAACATCTTCTTACCTAATATTTGAATAAGGAAGCTATAAACACTTAGTTAGCCAAAATTACTGCACAAAAGATAATACTTTTTCTTAAACACAGTATAACTGTATTGAACATGCCCAGAAATGAACAACTGAGCTTATAAACTCATCAGAAAAGTGTTCGTAGAGGTCAAGTCAAAAAGCTATTTTTCCACAGACTTCTATAGGACTGGAGGTCTTTTTGCAACCACAGCTTTCGCCATCTGGTGGCCTTTCACTTCTAATTACCACATTGTGATTTTTACTTTCCACAGTAATTAGCTAATACAACAAAACACATCTTTCAGCTTTTCGTGTATTTTGAAGCTGTTTTTTGGAGAGCTGGAATGTAAATGTGCTTGTCTCTAATGCACTTTGGGTCAGCTTCTGTTGTTAGAGGATAGAAATAAAGTATGGATCCTATCACACCAGTATCGATATGATGCCAATGTTTGTATCAATACTATCAATATTTGGATTGATCTACACTGGCGCACATAAAGACACAGAAATGCATAACTTACACATTTGTGCTTCTGTTTTTAGTTTCATAAAGACATAAAAACATGTATTTTTTTTTTTTGTGATCCTTCAGCAAGAACAAAAATCACAAGCCTGAAGACCTGCTATGGTTTGAGTCACTGTTCAGTGAAGGGGCTTAGCAAAGGGTCAGCAGCCAATAAAAAATTATTGATCAAAAGGTCCTGGGGTTTGTGTATTCTTTGATCTGATCGATGTGATTTAATTTGCTGTTATTATGTGTGACAAAAGTGCACAAAAAAGGTCATCTTAGCTTCATCATGCTCCACATTAGCTGTTTTCGAGCAGCTGCTCACGAGTACCGTGATGGTAAGTCGTAGTTCTTTTCTTTATTTTGCACATAAGCAGGAAAAGAGGTCTTAGTAATCCATGTTACTGTTCTAGGTTAAATGAATAAAAAAGACCTGAAAAACAGCAACCAGCCTTAGCTGTGAGAGCGCACATGGCTCCAGACATCGTCTGCCAGGTAACATAATGGAGTAACTCTGAGTGGTCAATAAGGCTGGAAAAGAGCTGTATAAATGCAGTGCATTTAATAGCAAGGTGAAAATTATTACAGCAAAGGTGGAGTGCAGATATAGACTTATCATGACGTGTTAAATGAGTTATGCTGCACAGGGCACAGAGCTGTAACGACCAGAAATAATAAAAGGTTTATGATCCCACAGGCAGATTAAAGCAAAATCAATAACCGGACTAAAAATTTTATTTCACTGAATAGGAATATTTTCAGTTTCTCATGAGCTACCTGAGAACTGATGGGGACTGAAGGTGGAAATAAAATGAAAGCAATTCTTGCCCTGTTGTGTCTCTTCTTTACCAAAAGATTGTTTATTTTCTGACTAGCAGTAAAACACACTGACGGTCCAGACTGACCCTTCAGTCTGTCCCTGTCTGACGTCCACGGGCCTCTAAGTGCACAGGTTGTGGTTTAAAATCTGGAAACAACCCAAACGACTGAGACTCAGGACTCTGTATGGGGAGCTAAAACGTTCAGTGTCAAACTAATAGATGAGGCACACTGAAATGCACAGTAGTTTAAGTAAACAGTTTAGAACTAATAAATTAACCAATAATTTGTGTTTACTGTGCATATTTTGTTTTAAAAATACAAGATTGAATTAAATGACTTCATTTAACATTTTTTCTAATTACATAATGACAGTGCCTCTCAAGGAAGCTTAACAGTTACTCTCAGTCTCATGTTAGAAACGAGCTAGTGCCATAAGTAATTCCAAATAATCCAGTCTGTGGACTTTGTAAATAAACACAGTGCACTGACTCAATAACATCTTATTAAATTAGGCTGAAAAGATAGACTGTATACGGAAAATGGAGGCACCCATTGTGATGTCACCCATTGGTTGTTAACTCTGCACTTTAAAGGCCCTGGTTCAGCTTCATGATAATCACCATCTTGTTTTTCAGGAGCCAAGAGTTCTTCTATTTAGAGGATAGATGGAAGTGCTATGTTATGTGTTAGCTAGCTTGCTAGCTTTGCACCTTGCTTACAGAACTATGTTAAGAATACACATATTATTTGCATGCCTTTTTTTATCCATCCATCCATTCGCTTATCCTTTTCAGGGTCGCGGGGGGCGCTGGAGCCTATCCCAGCTGTCATAGGGCGAGAGGCGAGGTACACACTGAACAGGTCGCCAGTCTGTCGCAGGGCTAACACACAATGATAGACAACCATTCGCGCTCACATTCACACCTATGGGCAATTTAGATTAACCAATTAACCTATCCCCACTAACTGCATGTCTTTGGGAGGAAGCCGGAGTACCCGGAGGGAACCCATGCAAACACGGGGAGAACATGCAAACTCCACACAGAAAGACCCCGGCCTGATGGTGGAATTGAACTCAGGACCTTTTTTGTTGTGTGGCAACAGTGCTAACCACCGTGCTGCCTTTTTTATATTCAATATTATTGAAATATGCTACTGAAGACACAAACACAGCAAACAAAGTCAAGATGTCAAATTCAGTGACACTACTTAGTAATGAAAACTTTGAAGGGTTAACAAAGTCCTAAAAAAGTTAAAAAGAAGAAAAAAAGAAGAAAAAAGAAGAAAAAAAAAAGATTCAAAACAGTTAAAAATGTTCATGAAGGTTCAAACTATCCATGAGGGCCAAGATTGTTTTAAAAATTCTATAAATCCACTTTTAATACTATTATTTGTGCTATTTCTTTGTGGGTGTCCATGGCATTTGACCCACTTTGGGACTCAGCCTCAAGAGGCTATTTGAGGAACTGCAATCTGGAGCTGACTTTATTTTTTAGACACAACACAATATTTTCAGCAAAAACAAATGTCCAAATATAAATATTTCATAACGTTAACATGTTGATGGACTTTTCTACATTTTGTCTGTGATACATTTCCGTGAGCATTAACTATATTGCTTTATACGGTTGTAATGTTTGTGCATTTATTCTGCAGCTCCTGTGGGGGGCGCTGCAACAGTTGGACAGACCAGCACAGGTGGTGCAGTGAGGTGTCTGGGAGACAGCTACTACATGTCAGCTGATGTCAGCCAGTTTGAGCCACATGACGTAGTGGTGCTGGCCTACAACCAACACGTGGTCATCCACGCCCAGAAGGTGTGTAGGTGTATGTGTGTTTTGGGATTTCTGAATGAGTGAGGGGGAATTAACAGGGTATTTGTGAACTCTTGTAGCATGCAAATGTGCATGAGCGCACTCGTGGGACCGCTGGGATGCATCACTCATGTCTGGGTAAAGCTGTTATTGTTACAAAATCACTGCAAACAAATCAGCTGCTGCCATGAATT